CTTTGCTTCCCTTGTGGTGGTGTCTTTCAAATCTTCCAGCTTGTCACAGTCTCTATTCTCAGAGAAATCTCCATTGTAGTCATCCCTCAGAGTCTTTAGGAACTCACTCTTCTTGTCAGTCGGTGGTGGGTCAATTTGGTCAGGCAAGAGAATTTGATCTCAATCTGAAGGTAGTACTGGAGGGGCTCTCTTTGTGAGAACTTAGAAGTATGCCAGCAGCTGGTACCACTGGCTTCATAACAGAAACTGGATTGGTAAAAGCAGTCTCCTGGCTGGAGGAGTGGATCCTGATTTGTGCTCTGTTCTGTTTATTTTCCATGCATTGGGCTTAGAAGGAGGAGGTGCAGACTTGGGAACCAAGTTGTTATAGACACTTGGGGCCATGGTTGACACTCTTCCCATTTGCATGGTGGGATCCTGGTGAGGTCAATGTAGCAGCGTCAGGGGCAGCAGCAGCATCCTCTTTGGAGACTTTTTTGATGAACAGCATCTTAGAGGGTTGCTTGGCACTACGTTGATTTTCCCACACTCCCACTGGGTCTACATAGTTGATTCTGCTTACCAGCTCCTGGACTCAAAGAAGGAAAGTCTTCCTCTTCAAACTGCAACTTTTCTACTTTTTCTTTTTTCCCTAATCTCTGTTGGCAGCTTTTCTTGAAAGACACAACCTTTCCAGGAGTGGGAGCTGCCATTCCAGTGTGGATGGTTCCCTGTGCTGCCTCCATTACGTTGGCTCATGCCATCGTGACCTTAGGAAGGACCGTGCAACCAGATAGGTTCTCCATGATTTCAGCATATGTTCCCTTGGAGACATCAGAGTCCATAGAATCATGGCAGAAAAGGAGCGTTGGTACCAGGAATCTCCTATGGTCCATCGTTAAAAATGTCATCAGATGGATTATGCCAATGGCTGCTTATTCCAAACCTACCTTCTCCATGAGATGGGTGCTCTCTGTGTTCTTCAAAGGTGTCTGTAGGTGACTTAGCTGACCACGGCACTGAGAAATTTAGTCAAGCAGGAACAAAGTCATGCTGTGTCACTTAGGTCCAGTGTCTCTTTTCAGCAAGGAGAGGCATCCAACTTCATGACTAGGATCCCAGAGTGTCACCTCTGTGGTCCTGTTTTCTGAGTCTGATAGCTGGATCATCCATGAGGTTTTCTTGTTCAACAGTGCTTAAGTAGCCTGGCTAGCAGCAAGGAATGAGGATGAACTGGTATATCTGTGGTAGGATATAGTCTTTTGCCCAAAAGTATATACCCAAGAGTAGTATAGCTGGATCATATGGTAGATCTATTTCTAGCTGTTCGAGGAACCTCCACACCAATTTCTATACCACTTTGCACTCCCACCAGCAGTGAGTAAGTGTTCCCTTTCCCCACATCTTGCTAACACTTGCCATCATTTCTTTTTTGGATTGTATCCATCCTGACTGGGGTAAGATGAAATCTCAAAAGCTGCTCAGAACATAATGCTTATGTCCACTGGTGATATCAAGGTTGAGGGCAAGGTCCTCTCAGAGTTGAATGGAAAGCTCCCTGGTATTCCGTGTTCCTACCCCCAATGTGTCCATTGTAGTTCTGACCTGTGCCTGAAGAAAGCTGCCAAACATGATGACATCAAGAAGATGGTGAAGCAGGCCTTGGAGGGCCCCCTAAGGGGCACCCTGGGCTATACTGAGGACCAGGTCATCTGCAACTTGAACACTGACACTCACTCTTCTACCTTTGATGCTGAGGCTCACATTGCCCTCAATGGCCACGTTGTCAAGCTCATTTCCTGATATGAGAATGAATTTGGCTACAATGACAGAGTGGTGAACATTGTGGTCCATGGCCTCCAAGGGGTAAGAAACCCTGGACCACTCACTCCAGCAAGAACACCCCAGCAAGAGGAAGAGAGAGGTCCTTGTCTGGGGAGTCCCTGCCTCAACTCAGCCCCAATACACTGAGTAACTGAGTATCTTCATTCAAAGTTTCCATCCCAGACCCCCAGAAGAAGGAGAGGGGCTTAGGGAGCCTCACTCTCTGGAATGCCATCAATAAAGTTCACTGCACCCGCCCCAAATTTGTGGTATGTGTATGTGTGTGTGTGTGTGTGTGCATGTGTGTGTACACATATAGAAGCCAGAGCTCAACTTCAGGTTATCTTCCTTTATTGCTCTATTCTTTATTTTATGTAAATATAATAAATTTATTAATTCTTTAAGAATTTATCTACCTTATTATTTTTGAGACAGGGTCCTCACTGAACCTGGAGCTGGCTGGCCAGGGAGCCCCTGATATTTATCTATCTCTCCTCTACTCCCTTAGCACTGGAGTGATAGGCCTGCACTACCACATTCTACCTTTACATGGGCACTGGGTATAAGAACTCAGGCCCTCATACTTACCACACAAGCACTTTACTTACTGAACAATTTCCCAATATCCTCACCTTACTCTTGATTCTGGCTGTGACCCTGCAATTTGACTGAACAATGGGATGTTCACGGACTTGCTGCAAAGGCAGTCCTGGCCAGGCTTCTGGCACTGCTAATTCAGAAAGACCAGAGGTGTTTGGAATAGAGCCGCCTCAGCTGATCAGATTTGCAGCTGACCTGGGAACCTGGAGAAGAGTGATAAATACTTGCCATTATGTTTCACTTAAGTTTGGGGGCAGTTTGTTCTGTACCAATTAACACATAATGTCAAAGGGCATGGATGATTCATAGTTCTCATTACATGTTGGTTCTGCTCTCTGGGAAGCCTGAAATCAATCTACTATGCTAACAGCATAGTGCATGTACACCTAAAAATTGTACTCATGTGCCCTCCTCTACTTGCCATGAAATTTTGAGAGAGAGAAAGAGAAAGGAGAGAGGAGAGAGGAGAGAGGAGAGAGAGAGAGAGAGAGAGAGAGAGAGAGAGAGAGAGAGAGAGAGATACAACCAGCATGATTTGGGACCTTACATAGCTTTATTCCACACTGAATTATTTTTATACAAGCTTTTGGTATAATAATAAACTCAACAGAGGTCTAAGTAATTTTCTCTATCTCTGATAACTGTGACTTTAATTTATGGTATAATTGTGAGCAATCCATATAGTTTTGTGGTTATATGGTATGCTAATCCTTATTTTTAAGAGAGTAGCCTTCCCTTTTTTTGCAGGGTCTGTATTGCTAGGTAGACCAGGCCTGACTCTGCCTCTGTCTTCTTTCCCTGTCTGCCTTAATGCCTTGCAACAGGGTCTCTCACTCAACTGGAAACTTGATGTTTCAGGATCAGCTCACTTCTAATGCTGGATATGCTGGATTTACAGGCACGAACAGCCATGCCCAGCTTGTTACATGGGGTCTAAGGATTCAAACTCAGGTCCTTATGATTGCACAGCAAGAACTCTCACTTGCTGAGCCATCTCCCCAGCCCCTGATAATGATTTTTAAAATTGTAGATATAACATAATAGTTATAGTCAATAATATTTTCATCAAACGGAGCTATATTTTTTCAACATCACATTTTACTTTTGGATTGTCAAAACCTAGCTATCAAATTATACAAATGTATATATTTTAAGGCTTGTTATCAAATCCAACTGCTATTTCCACAATAAAAATTAAAATGAAACACAGTGGCATTGAAAGCATTTGAAAGCTGGGCATTTTATTCAACCCTCAGGATGTAAAGATTTCTGTTCAGCTCAAAGCACCTATTAACAACTCCTTGGTCAAGGTGCTACTTCTTTCTTCCAGTTAAAAAAAGGATGTCAAGGACTGGAGAGATGGCTCAGCAGTTAAGAGAACTGACTGCTCTTGCAGAGGACTTGGGATCTGTTCTCAGCAACTACAAGACGGGTAACAACCACCTATAATTCTAGTTCCAGGGGATCTCACACCCTCTTCTGCAGGCATTGAATGCACAGGTGCACTTAGAGAACACCAAACACTCATACACATAACAAAAATAAAAATAAAGAAATAAATAAAAAAATGTAATATAAAGGATGTTAGAATCCAGGAGAACAAAGGTGGCATTTTAATCATCACCAATCATATTTGCTAAATTATTGCATGAGTTGTTGATTCTTCACAAATACGCAGAAGTATTAGCAAGAAGGCAGGGTGTGGTGACACAAACCTTTAATCCTAGCATTTGGGAAGCAGAGGTAGGTGCATCTCTGTGAGTTCGAGGCCAGCCTGGTCTGTACAGTGAGTTCCAGGTAAGATGGGGCTACAATGAGACCCTGACTCAAAACGACCAAAAACCAAGTGTTTAGTAAGAAGAGGGTTGGAGGGAACCTGGGTTCAGTTCCCAGCACCCTCATGTCAGTTAACAACTGTCTATAACTCCAGTAACTGGGGATCTGATCCCACCTGACGCTGTCTTCCTGCCTCCCTGGGCATGGCATGACATTGGTGCACTACATACATGCAGGCAAAACACTCATACACATAAAATAAATTAATAATACTTTTTAAAAGAAAGTAAATTTCTGGAAACACACCACTGTTTACTGTGCTATGCTATTTTATCTGCATGGACAGTCAGGAACCCCCACTGGAGAGAGGCTCAACATCATGTTAGAATTACGGAAAGGAACTGCTTAAATAATCTGAAAATAAGCAGTGTTAAATTACATTATGAGGGTTGGAAGAGAGAAGACAAAGTGCTGGGCCCTCAGCTGTAGTGTTCGGTCAAGTTTAACCAGCTGGCTTTGGATTGCCTACATAGGGGACCAGTGGAACCAGTCAAAAGAACATCATGTTTCCTTTGTCCCCTGATCCTCCATCCAGTCGCAGAGCAACAGGCCTTCACAATTGGAAACAAAGAGGTCACTGCCCATGTCCCTTTCATCCTAGGGCTGGAGGACTGCTAATCCCGGGCACAAAGCGGGCCGCAGCTCCCCATTATTCTGCGCCTGGCGCTGGGCACATCTGCTGACCGACTCTGGAAGGTCCCACTTGGGCCGCCTGAGGGTTATTTAGCCGGCGCGGGCCGGGCCACGGCCTCCCGGGAGCCATGTACCGGCGCTGCTACGTCTTCCAGGCCAGCCAGGAGCGCTACGAGTGCGCAGAGCCTGAGGGTCCGGCCGAGCCCCGAGTGGCTGCGCCGGGCTTGGAGGCGCTTCGTGCGTTGGGTGAGCACGTGGCAGGCCACATCCAGCGGGCCCCCGCCCTCCAGCAGCGCCACGCCGGCCTGCGGCGGCAGCTCGACGCCTTCCAGCGCCTGGGCGAGCTGGCCGGGCCCGAGGACGCCCTCGCCCGCCACATCGGGGCCAACCTGCAGCGTGTCCGGGATCTGTAGGCCGAGCGCACGCAGCTGGAGAGCCAGGCGGCCGTGGCGCAGCGCGCGCTTGACAGTTCCGCAGCAAGTAAGCGGCGCCAGGGGGGGAAATGAGGCCCGCACGGGAGGCCCGCGCGCGGGATGGGGAGCGCGGTGCAGTCCAGGGGCGGAGGGCGGGCGACAGAGGACCTCTTCCTGCCGAGGGACCTGCAGGTGCAGTGTTCTAAAGGCAGCCCGACTTCCAGTTTGATGGCACCTCCCGCTTTACAGGAAATTTCGTGTGTTAGAATTTAAGCATAATGTACAGTAAAACACACAGATTTTAAGTGCATAGTTCAAGTTTTGACGACTGTGCTTACTCTGAGCCCAAACCAAAATAAGCGAGATTGGTTTCACAGCCCCAGAGTTGCTTCCTCTGTGTTCCCAATCCATCCTCTTCCTCAAACCAGAGGCGCCCAGTTGTGATTGCTGCCACCAGGTTTTACTTTTGTCTGTTCTAGAATTTCAGAATATGTACTTCTTATAGGACTGGTTTCTTTCACTCAGCATTATCTTTCCAACTTACCTTTCATACAGATAAATATTGTATGTTGACCATATTCCTCCCTGAACCCCTATATCTCCCTTTCTTCATCCCCCCCATTTGTCTCCTTTCCCCCTAGACAATTTTACCTCTACTTTCATTTTATAAATACATATATGATTTTATGTGACTATATAAAAATCTAGGAACCACAAATGAGACAAAACATATAATTGCTTTCTGAAACTGGTTTAATTGGCTTAATATGCTTATTTCTAGCTGCATCCATTTTTCTACAAACGGTATTCTTTATGGTTGAAAAAATTCATGTGTATGCATAACATTTTCTTTATCCATTTCTCTGTTGTTGGATCCTTAGGTTGGTGTCCAACAAAAAGCTGCCCGACCTTTTGTGAATAGAGTTGCAGTAAACATTGACACAGTGCCATGTTTTTGAGATGTCCAAATGGGAGGTAATTTTCATAGCCTTATCCCTACTACATCATTTTCCAGAGAGACTATCATAATGTGAACACATTTGGGGTAAGGCCACTCAGCTAGTGAATGTTGTGCTGGACATGGAGTTCAGGTCCTCACATGCAAAGTCTGACGTCATGGTGTAATGGGTGACATCTAGGAATTAAGTTTCAATGTGTTATCTCTAAGGTCTCGATACTCAAAGTGTAGTCTGTGGCCCCGCTGCACCATCATCATCATCATCATCATCATCATCACCATCACTACCATCACCATCATCACCACCACTACCACCACCATCATTAACAGGGAACTTTGCTGGAATGTAGCCTCCTGGGCCTCTTACAGCTCCTGTGTCAGAACCTGTGTTTTAGTAGAGATCCCCGGTGATAACTGTTTAAGAAGTTTAAGAGGTTTTCCCTGGATCTGGGCATGTTGGCACACACTGTTAATCCCAGCAGTCAGGAGACAGAGGCAGGTAGATCTCTGTGAGTTCAAGGCCAGCCTGGCCTACATAGTAAGCTCTAGGCCAGCTAGGGCTACAGGGAGATCCTGTCTCAGAAAAATAAATAAATAAATAAAGTCCTCCCCTCCCCTATTTTGGTGATGGTGGTAAAATGCATATAATGTGAAAACACTGTCTTAACCATTTGAAGTACACAGTGTAATGCAGCTCAGATACCCAGGGAGGCTTGATAGACTGTCAGGATGTCCTGGATCCCCAGACGGCTGTAATTGTGCATCTGGTTGTTATGTACCATTACTTGGATGGACAGGCATCACTTCCATGACCATTCACTGAGGAACACCATGTTTAGTTTTCCTGGTCTTTTCCTGATTTCACTTGGTTTTGAGTTGGATGGTCATCATGGAGAAGTTCTTCAAGTTCTGTTTGATTTAAAAATCTTACTAACTCATTCTCCACCATTTCCCTCATGAAGTTTTTGATATTTTGCCTGAAATAGTGGAATTTGAAAAGTCATTATAGCACATCCTCATTCATGGGTGCACACACACACACACACACACACACACACACACATCCAAAGATTGTTTTTACATTCCTGAGGTGAGCTGGTGACTAGCCAAAGCCTGGTGAGAGTCGTGCAGGAAGGGGAGCGTGAGCAGTGTGGCTCACACCATGTTAGGCATATTCTCCACCTGGAACTTGGATAATTTCAGTCAAGTCTTTTTAGCATATCAAAGACTAAGTAAAACAGCAAGTAAAAAAAAGAACCATAAAAACAAATAAAAGCACCCAAATTCAGTGATGAATACAATAAATTATCCAAATTGCTGAAAACAAAAATAATCTCTATAAGCAATCAGATAATGGGAACCAAAGTATGTTTTAACTTTATGAACTCACTTATATGAATATGTGAATTCTTATCATTAATTCTGTAAAATGAAATCACTTCTTTTTAAATATATCTATGTGGGTCTTTATAGCATGAAAATTACCCATGAGATTTTGCTATTGTGTTCATTATCAAACATGCTGTAAAGCTGCAGAAACTCTTAGATGTTTCTAGCAGGAAAAAAACAGTGAGAAAATGAGATTTTGTTAATTTATTTTCAATGATAATTACCCATTTAAAACATAATTTTTGGCTCCACTAGAGCCACACAAAAAGAAATGACTACATGTGCCATCTTGGTGTGAAATGTAAAACTTGTTGAGAGATGTTTAACTTTCAGCTGAGCTGCTCAGACTACCTTGGAACTGGCTTGTGTGCATACAGGCGTGTCAGTTGCCCTTACCTGTGATCAGACCTTCTAATTCTGAGAATACAGCCCTTTTATGGCTGTAAGTACTTGACTTGAACTTGTGGGTATGCATAGGACACAGAAAGTTCTGTTTTATGGAAAGAGCTCAATGTTAATTAGGATTGTTTTCTGTGGCAAGTGACATAAACACCATAGTGACATTAGCTTACTTCATACCCACTGGGATTGCTAGCAGCATAAAGGCAAAGGACAACAATGTTTGCAAGGATGTGGAGAAACTGGAATCCTGTACACTACTGGGCTCCACTGATAGAAGTGTGAAGTGGTACTCTGGGGAACAGTGTGGCAGTTTCTCAAAAAGCTAAAAAGCAAGGTGCAGCAATTCCACTTCCATTCAGAATACTCAAAGGCTGACTCTGGAAAAGACAGAGCAGCAGCATTATCCATAATAGCTAAAATGTGTAAGTATTTGAGTGTCTATGGACAGATGTATGACTAAGCAAAATGTGGCATATTCATAGACTAGATTCCAGCCTTAAAAAAGGAAGGAAATTCAGATACATGCTATAACATGGACGGACCTTGAGGATACCATTCTTGAGTTAAATAAGCCAGGCACAAGAAAGAAAATAATGTCTAATTCTACTTACATGAGGTAATTAGAATAGTCAGATTCATAGGGACAAAGTAGAATGCTAGTTCTTAAGGGCTGGGGAGAGGGCAGATGTGGAGTTAGTATTTAATGGGTATAGAGTTTCATTTTTGCAAGATGAAAGAGTTCTAGAGATGGATGGTAGGGATTGATGTACAACACTGAACTGTGCCCTTAAATCTAGGGCTGGAGAGATGGTTTAGAGCTTACAAGTGTGGTTAACAGGGTACCGCTCTTGCAGAGGGACCCAAGTTGCATTCTCAGGACCCATGTTGGGCACTTCACAACTGATTGTAACTCTAGCTCCCACGGAATCTGACACTCTCTTCTGGCCTCCACAAGCACTGCACTTATGTGCACAACCTTCGCCCCCCCCACACCTGCTTTTACACACAAACATAAAAATAAAATCCTTTAAAAAATGGTAAACCCTATGTATGTGTATTTTACCATCTAAACCATGTAACATTGGCCTATCCAAGATGGTCATTTTTCTCTCCTGAATAAAGTCTAGGTGTGCAGTTTTATGGGCGGGTCCCACGCACCACGTTGCTGCTTGGGTCCCTGGCTCTCCGCAGCTACCAGATGCTGGCGACTCAGCGGTTGCTGCGCTTCCAGGCGAGTTGCGTTCCAAGCTACCGGGCACTCCCTCTAGGTTCGCGATCCGCCGGCCGCCGGATCACGAGGGGAGGTGCAAGAACGGCGAAAGCAGGATCTCCGTGAGTGAATGTTTACGAAGGGACAGCCCCCTCCGGGGAGATTGAATAAGAGACTGGTACAGCTCAGCTCCTGATACAGCTCCTTTATTCAGTGATTCAGCTCAGCTCCAGATCTTAGTGATTTAGCTCCAATTTATTAGGGGGAAACCAGGATATTTATAGTAGCAAAAGCCTTAGTTGATAGGTGCTTTGTAGGATGCCCCATTTACATGTGGTGGTGGGCTTCTGCCAGGCTGTCAGACAGTGCCTGATTATCACACAGGAAAACCTGGCAGTTTCTGAGCCAGAGGACATGTATATGTGACGGCTACTTCAAAGGTGAGTCAGGAAGAGAGTAGGAGGCACCCTGCTGAGAAAAGGAGACTGCTACCTTAGACAGCAGGGGTCCCCAACACAGTTTAGTGCAGCACTCTACAGCACTTGAAATTGTGAAGGTTCTGCATGGACTTCGAGTTGGCAACATCCCCATTCCAGGCTGTAGGAAGATGATGGATGTTGACTTACCATTGCTTACCTATCTTACTTGGAAGCCCCCTCTGACCTATGCTTTCATCCTACTGGTCAGGACTCAGTCACATGACCATATCTGGGTACAAGGGAGGCTGGGAAGTGTAGTTTCCTTTCTAGGCAGTGTGGTGCCCTTCAAATGTAAAAGGCTGGAACTTCTGAAAGTAGGTAAGAATGCATATTGACTCTGAAGAGATTACCCAAATTGCCAATGGGGAATAGGGATGCAGACTGCTCTGGCTTCTTCCATGCTGAACAGGGACGCAGGGTGAGGCAATTGGAGTACCCCTTCAGTGGGTCTATCTAAAAGACTCCCAAATTGTATAACTCTTGTCTCTAAGGGGAAAAGAAAGTCCTTGAATTGTGAATAGGAGATGTGAAGGAGAAGTAAAGGCAAGAGTAATTCGCATTACAAGTTCTAGCCAGAGAATTATAAAAAAAAGTCAGAACAGGGCAATTTTCAAATGTTCATATGAATCCATTGGAATTTCTTGACAAGGGCGTCCAAAAGCATCCCTCTGTTGCCTATAGTTGTTAAATTACATGGCAGAGCAATTTTACACCACAATGTTCTTTAAATGTCAAATAAGCATGAGAGAAAATTCCTAGAAATGTAAAATCCAAGTGTTGTTAATGTTTTATATGAGTTCACTTCAGTTAGGGAAAACTCACTCTCAAACCTCTAAGAATATAAACAACAGGAAAGGATCAAGCTGTCCCAGTTCCCAAAAGCAACAGTGTTTGTGAGCTTTTTCCTGGGGAGACCTGAGCAAATGTCTACTCATCCGAGACAGGAAACTAATGACGCAAAATAGTAATTCTACCAAAGTCCAATTAAGTGAGCCAAGGATTTTACAGAGGTTAATTCCACAAGTATGGACAAGCACAGATAGCTGCATCACCAAAAATCCCATCCAGTCTAAGTGATGACTCAGGGAAGCTGCAATCTGAGATCTCTGCCTAACTTGCAGGCAGCTTGGTTACTTGGGGAGTTTCTTCTTTTCACAATTGTTTACTGCTCCTATAACCTTATGGAGTGGCCTTTGGAATCTTGTAAATTTGAACATTCCAGAACTTGTGTTTGCTTCTTGAGTCTCCTGCCACCCTTTCAGAGGGACTGTGTCAATTCCTCAGCAGTACTCCACTCCTTCCTCTGACTCTTACATTTTCTCGTAATGCTTTTAGATCCTTGTGGGCAAACGGTGTAGATACAAATGTCCTCTATGGCTAACATTAGGCCACTGTGCCAGAGCAATACTCACGTTTTCTCAGAATCTTCATCATTGGTTCTGAGTATTTTTGTATACTATCCATTGTGAAAGGAAGTTTCCTTCCATGAAGAATCGCAGCTGACAATAGAAGTGAGATGTTAGACATGAACTGAAAGGTGAAGAAGGGAATTGGAGAAGCACATCACATCCACCTAACAAACAATAGCAGTTTCTTCCCCACTGCGGCCTATGACCTCTCCATCCACAAGTTTTGTTCCTGTCTTATAATACCAGACACAAATTTTCTCTTGTGGACTGGACTCTGAATCCAACCTGAAACCTGTTTGTTGGACTCAAACAGTAGTTGTGCCACTGTTGAACCAGGGGGCATATGCTGCCTGTCTGTTGGCACCGGCCACATAGGGTTTATGGCTGAGCAGGACTGTTGGTGACAATTCTCCCTCAGCAGTCTGCATTGCACCTGGCACCATGCAAGCCACCTAGTATGGAGGAAGCTTCCACCTTATTCCAGCATCAGTTCTCCATGTCCTGCAACCCAAACATGTGATGTCTTTAGCAATAGTGGCTTACTATCTAGTTTTGTATGAACCCAATGGTAGTGGCAATAGCCTTCATGGTTTGTGGGACAGATACTGATCCAAGTACTGGTGTTAAATGCCTGTGCCAACACACCTGGGTAGTAATAACCCATTAAAACAACCTACCCCTAATAGGTTTCTGAGGTAGGACTGATTGCAACTGATTGCCTTTAGTCGAGGTCTGTGCATCAGTGTGTGTGAAATGAGTAGCCTTGTCATGGTCAATTACGTAATACTGAGTTGGGTAAAAGCCTTGTTGGTGGCTTTGCCTATTCCTCGCTTGCCTGGAAATGCTTGTAAGAGGCCTGTGACAGTGTCCACACTTAAGAGGGTATATTTGCACCTGTCACTGATTGGCATAAATAATGTATGGTGTGTTTGCTGGTACTTAAGGGACAAATTTGCTTACATATGTGTCCTGTCAAAACATAGAGTCAGGCTTTGATTGTGAACTGGCAAAACATGTGTTTGGCACCTAAATAAAAATGTCTGAAGAAAAATAAAGAATGCATATTGATGGCTGGTTACAGGGAGTGAGGGAGGGCGCCATTGGCAAGGGCCCTTCTCTCTTCAGGTTCCCTCCCTCTATCATGATAACTTCTGGGCTGTCTGCCGTCTGGATGACTATCATTTTATACAAGTTTGGAAAGAAATTGAGGTTGGAGAGAAAAATAACCTGCTCCCAGTGTCAGGTAGGTGAAATATTAATTGTGGGTGTTTTGAACTGGGGCTTCCTTGCTCTGTCTAGGTGATGTGATCACCAAAGCACAGGTGTTGATGTCACACTCCATTCTGAATCTTGACTTCCCCTTCTCTTAGTTTAGAAGCCAAGCAAGTAGCTTATTTGGGAGGGACCACAGGGAGCACTGTCAGGGAGTAAGAAGGGTGACAGGAGGAGAACTCAGCCAGCACCAAGTGTATTATCAAGCAAGTTAAAATCACAGCAGCTGGGGCCCAGCCTGCTGGGTGTAGCATAGCCTCACTATCTTAGGATATTTGTCTGCCAAATGGCCTTTGTAAGAGAATGAGGGCTGCTCCCAGGGGAGCTGAGTCTCTGGCTCACTCAGCCTGATCCATCCTCTAGTCTGGAGGAGGACTTTGCAAGGCAAGATGGATGCTACAAAAATAGGGATATGGTATTGCAACTGCTGGTGAAGGAACTGGGCAAGTTTCTTTCTTTCTTTTTTTTAGAAACTGCTTTTCTAATTCTTTGTGTGTGAGTGTGTATGTGTCTGTGTAGGTGGGTAGGTGATGTATGTTTATTTGATGTAAGCAGACACGTGTGAGGGTGCATCCCTGTGCATGTGCACAAATGTCAGAGGAGGTCAGCAGGTGTCACTCTCCTACTTACTCCTTTGAGGCAGGGTCTCTCCCTGAACCCAGAGCTCACCTTTTTGGGCCAGGCTGATAGCCAGCAAGATCCAATGATTCTCCTGTCTCTGCCCTCCACAGTGTTAGGGCTTTATGCATGCACAAACCATGCTTGATCTGTCATGTGGGTGCAGGGACCTGAACCCAGGTCCTAGTGGCTGTGCAGCGAGTGCTCTTAATCATTGAGCCATTTCCTCAGCTCCTCGGAAAGTTTCTTAACTTTACTTTCCTCATCTTCCCTCCAGAGGCAGTAATGACCGTTCTCTTTGGTTGTGAGGATGAATGACAATCCAGAAATGATGACATGTTGGAAATGTGAATGAATACAGTAGTATAGGAAATCCACACAGGGTCAGATAATGGCATTTGTTCTAGACTGAGTAGGGCAGCCTTCCTATCTCTATGCTGTGGTTGTCCTTAGGTTACAGCTAAGCCAAGATACAATTCCTCATCCTCAGGGTGCTGGGTGGGAGGCAGCTTAGGTGGTTGGAGGCCCCAGGGTGAAGGACTTTTGCTCCCTTTACCTTTTCTGGTTACCCACACCTTCCTCATGCTCCATGGTGTGAGAAGGATTGACAAGCAGTGGCAAGGAAATGCAGAACGAGCCATTACTTTAAAATTAAAACCAACTTCTTTTTTATATTTTTTTATTTTCATTTTATGTGTATGAATGCATTGCCTGCATGTAAGTAGGTGCATCTGTGTTGTGCAATGTTTGCGGAGGTCAGAAGAGGGCATTGAATCCCCTGGAACTGGAGTTACAGATGGTAGTTAGCTGCCATGTGGGTGCTGAGAATTGAACCCGGGTTCTTTGCAAGAGCAGTCAGAGCTCTTAACCACTGAGCCATCTCTCCAGTCCTAAAGTCAACTTCTTAATGAAGAGGGTGCAGCATTATCTGACACTGAACCTCATTCACGTTGGTGGAGTGATCTCATGTGAATTATAGAATCTGCCTAACTTTTGTCTATGTGTTGCATTTGCAGATATGAAAATGAGTGTGAATGTCAACTGGTGTTAAAAGAGATGCTTGAACGTCTTAACAGGGTGAGTGAAATACATTCTTGGGTTTAAGTATCTTTCTTATAGTATTGAGCTAAAATGCCAGGAGCAATTATTCCCTGTAACTTGTTTTCCCATTATTTTAACTCATCTGTTTCTTACTGCCATTCTCCTCCTTGACTTCTTAATCTTAACCAAGTCTTTGTAAATGAACTGACATATAAATGTACCTTATACCACATGATATGTGGTCTCAATGAAAGAAACATAGACAATGAAGTTCATCTATTATGCTATGTATATTAGTCTGATTTCCATTAATGTAATGAAATACTTGAGACTGGGTAACATGTTAAGAAAAGTAGGTTATTGACCTTACAGTTTTGGAGCTAGCAAGTCCAAACATCATGGCACTGGATCTGGTGAAGAGAGCCCCTGGCTCAGTTACCTTATGGTGAAGTGCATCACTGTGGGAGCATGTGAGGTAGAAAGCCATAGTTGGGGGAGGGGCCGGTAAGGACTTTCCATTATACCCTACACTTTGAAGGGTAAAAATTTTTTTATGTGTCAGTATATGTTGCCTGCATGTATGTAAGTACACCCATGTTGTACAGTGCCCATGGAGGCCAGAAGAGGGCATTGGATCCCCTGGAACTGGAGTTACAGACGATCATGTGAGTGCTGAACTCAGGCCCTCTGGAAAAGTAGCCAGTACTCTTAACCGCTGGGTCATCTCTCCAGCCCCATGTTACCTCTTAACATCTCTGCACTGGGGACTAAGCTCCCACTACATAAACTATAATGCTAGGCTCTTGGAATGTGCCAGCATTACAGTTACTGCTACTCTTTTATTATCTAGATAGACTGATCACAAATAACTTCCTGAAGCAACTTGCTTAAACTGGTGGTTATTAGTGCAAGCTGAGACTTCTGTTCTGTTGGCTAAGAGTTCTTCAAGAAGAGACTCAGAGACAGGAAGAAGAAATGTTCATTTCCCGTGAAGCTCCCTTTTCTTAGAGCATGAAGAAGAGCCTCATGGGAGGTGCCAGGGAACCGTCCTGTGGGGGCTGTATGGAGCGATTCCTTGCAAAGGGGCAGTTTCCATCTTCTGATCCTTCATCATCAGTTTTTTTCTGCCATAGCCAGGAGAGCTCTGCTCCAAGTAGCAGAATAATTCTGGACAAAAAGAGTTGGACAGAAGCAGGGTGGTAAATACTTTGAGCATTGTCTCTGCTCATGCCTGAGCTCAAATGTTGGGATGGAAGGAGTCATCAAGATGATGTAGTTGAAGGGTGGCTGTTTAGGGCACGTGGGCTGCCAGCACCTCAAATCTCCCATGCATATAACCTTATCCTAGTTGCTGATAATACACTAGACTCTTCCCTGCTGAGCTCAGATAGACTTTAGAATTCTCCTCCTCATATAATCGGCAAGCATTTCAGACTTTCCGGGTTACTCAAGGTATTTTCCATTTCCTACCTTTGCCAATCTCTGTTGTCAAGGTGTTGATAAAATCAGGGCTAAAACCTTGAGACGCTGTCAATATTACCTGCCTCTGGTGCCCCCTCTCTGTGTGAGCATCTAATGTGTTGTCTAAACTGTGACATGGGGAAATGGTGCCATTGATAATTATGCAGGTCAGTGGTTAGAATCCAGTTCTTTCCCAGGTCAAAGGGATCACATGTGAGCCTGTTATTCATAAACAGAAAGATGGCAGTGAGGGCATGCTTCAGGAGAGCCTCTAGGATACAGGCTCTGGGTTGGCCAGAATAGTGAAGGCCCTATGCCTTTGTAGTAGAGCTTCGAGTTTCTTTCTATTAACATCCAAGAGCACCCAGCTGTTCTGCTAACACCTTTAACTCATCCCATTTTTGGTTTTGGTTGCAATTCAAGTTTTCCAAGTGAGGCCAAGGCTTTCAAGGATACAGACACTTAGCACCGGCTTTCACTTAGGAGGATAGAAATGGCATGGACCCTCTGGAGCTGGAGGTACAGGTGATTGTAAACCCTCGATATATGTCCTAGAAACTGAACTTGAATCCTCTGAAAGAACAGCAAGTGCTCTTAACTGGTGAGCCATCTGTCCAGCCCCCATAGTTATGACCTTTTCTGATTACTTTTTATTTATAACATATGACATATAAAAAGATCATTTCAAGTAAGCCTAAGCAAAAGTGGGTCAATCTAAAGGAAAACTCAGGGTGAATATTAATAGTACAGGTGGTAGAACTTGGAAGGAAGTCATGAACCCAACATGCAAACATGGGACTTGGGAGGTCCTTGAACCAGCTGTGGGAGCCCCAAAACAGTCTTTGGTTATTGATGCAGCAGGTTTTGCTCCCAGAAACAACCCAGTCTAGGCCCTTCTTTCTGCCAGTGAAAACTCACTGAACCCTACATCCCACTCATGGTAGGTGTAGACTGGAATGTGTATTCATGACTCATTCTATACTTCCTAAGGCCAGTCAGTCAGAGAAATGGAGTCTCTCAAAAGCCATACACAAAGCCAGAGTGCTATAAATTAAAGATGGCCTCTCAGCTCGATAGTGGACTCTTACCTACATTTCCTGGGACACTCCAGCTGTCAGTAGGCATGCAGGATACACTGAAGTCCTCTGGCATTCTTGCTGTGGGAATGAGCATGACTCACATGAGGCACAGACCAAAAGCCCTAGGCATGTACACCCCAGGAAGTGAACCTTAGCTACCGAAGGTCAGGAGTGAGTGGGTAAGTCTCAGAGTAGAGAGGTGTACAAGTCACCAGGGTCCCCAACAGGACTGAACGGAGCCTCAGTGTTCATAATGGCCCTGTCTGCTCATATGGCCCTGCTCCCTTCTCTGGATCCCTTCCCCTTCTCTGTTCCCATCCAGACAAACACCCAGTCTTTGTCTTGGTGTCTAGCTCTGGAGACCTCAAACTGAGATCGTCCCTTGTGGAGCTGGCTAGTGAGCATTTGTTGTTCTCTGTCTGTGGACACCATCAGCTGAGAAGGAAGGTGCTGGAAGAGTGGAATTATCTTTTTGATTGGTCGCATAAGTGATTAATTTTTTTTCATTACATTCATTTATTTATTTGGTGTGTATGTACATTTGTGTGATCACACAGGTGCCACCGTGCATGGTCAGAGCACAACTTGTGGGAGTCAGTTCTCTCCTTCTACCATGTGGGTCCTGGGGTTTGAACTCATGTCATCAGTCTTGGCAGCAAGTACTTTAACCTGATGAGCCATCTTGCTGACCCAGATCACCGATTTGGTCCACAAATCTGTGGATGTCTGCTTCGTTGGCACTTAATCTCAGGGCCATTTCCTGTGGAGTCACCTACAGGAGGGATTCACCCTTCGGTGTGGCTATGGGAACCCTTGGCTCAGTCTTTGATGCTGCTCTCACACACCCACCATGCATATTCTTACTCCTTAGGTGATGAGACTTCCAGAATAGAACTTCCTGGTTGTAACAGCAGATAAGCCAAAGCTACCCGTTATGCTACCCATTATGATGTGAAATAAAATCCTCACCATAACAATTGATATGGCCAGAGATGTTCACATCCTCAGCCTTTTGATGGCACAAGAACCTCAGATGGCTTTTAGACAGCCAGGTTTGTCCAACTCTAGAATCCATTGTCACCACAGTTGTACACTGTAGATGACTGGCCGCCAGTAATGCCCACGTCTGCTTATCAGCTAAGGCGGCTGAAAGGATTGGATTCTAAGGCTTCCTCTCCTTTTTAAGAGTTTTAAAGTGATGTGGCTTTTAGCCGCATGGTTCATTTAAAAACAATTTAAAATATTTAAAGACTGACCAACATGCACGCAATTTGTGTGTCTCTGAAGTAGTCTGTGGAAAAGCCAAGAGGTCCTGAGGTTTGAGGCAGAAAAGATGGAAGGAAAATCCCCCACCTCAGGGCTACCAGCCTCTATAAGCCCAAGAATTCGTTAGAGGCTGGAAAGGAACTCCAGAGAAGAGGAGCCTGGGAAGGGAGATTTGCGAGGAGGCTGCGACTGAAAGGCAGAGGAAGAGCAAGGAGAATGCAGAGGGAGGCTGCGGAGTTGGGGGACAAAGCAGAGGAGAGGGGAGGACCTCAGACTGACCCAGAGCCTCCTCCAGGCAGGTGGAAAGAGCTACATGCAACAGTTAAACATTTACTTTGTTTCTATTTTTAAAATATGCATGTCTTGCCTGCATGTATGTAAGTGCACCCATGCGTGCAATGCCTAGGGAGGCCATAAGGGGGCATTAGATCTCCTATAGCTGGGGCTATGGACAGTTGTTAGCTGCCATGTGGGTGCTGAGAACTGAACCCAGATCCTCTGCAAGAGCAGCCAGTGCTGCTTAACCACCGAGCTACCTCTCCAGTCCCTACATGCAACATTTTTCAAAATTATTTTTATATTCAGGACTGAAAGAAAAGTGTTTTTAAGTCAAATCCTAGCTAACCAGTAGTTTTTTTGAACTCGAATCCCTATTCTTTAGCAGCTGGGTTTTGATTGCATTTCTATGAACAAGTTGTCAAGAATGATTGCCAAGGGTGCATTTAGCTCTAATTATCTCTCTGGCTCTTTTCTAAAAAGTGGCTGTAAAGGCTGGGATGAAACTTAGAGTAGTAAGATGGTTTCCTAGCATGTGCAAAATCCTGAGTATCAGCCTCAGCACAGTGGGGTGGGCCTGTAAATATCCTAAACTATGTGGACTAGTGGTTCTGGAACTTGGGTGTACATCCTCATCACCTGGAAGGGGTGTTAGTATCACAGGGAATATTAGCATTTCTAGCTAGTTCTCAGGTCGTGAGGGCTGTTTATAAACTGCTGTTCTAATCTAGAGCACACACACTATCAGGGTTGCATTATTTTATCAAATTAGAATGTTCACAGAGACTGTCAATTCAAACAAGACTAGATGCTTCTGTTGCTGCGGCTTTGGGAAATTCAGCTGACAGCATCCCAGGCATAATGAAAACACAACTGTCTACACATTTCTGAGTTCTAGCACAAACAAAAGAAAACACTTCCAAAACAAAGTTTCATTGTATCAGCAACTGCACAGTCCCACAGCACCCACTCACCTTTGAGGGTATCCAGGACAGTTTATCAGGTGATCATCTTACAAACAAGATGTGTGCTAGCAGAAGCATCTGGTTGGCCCATTTTAAAGACAAATATTGTCTTTTTATTATCTCCGTAGGTGGGTTTAAGTAAAGTTTTGGTTGATGTGTGGAAGGATAGCAGGTGTCTTGTAGGATGGTCTCTCATCTCGCCATCCAAGAAGAGCCCATGGCAGCCTCCGCTCCTGCTATCATCCATTAGTTTCCACTAGTAGATCAACCTGGCGATCAGCCTGGACTGAGACCCCTGCAAAGGTACACTTTAGACTTTGAACTGCGCTTGGCAGAACCTGAAGTTCCATGGAGTTAGTTGAAGGGCCCCTGGGGGAAGACAGTGCCTGACAGATGGGCTATCTATGGCTCTCTATGCTCTGCAAGAACAGGATCTCAGGCATCTTATGGGGAGAGTGTATGTTTAGCATATATAAGGCCCTAGATTCCATTCCCATGCCCATCCCAAGGCGTAAAAACAAACTAAGCTTCCCTGCTTTGATCCTGTACATGGTGTGCTTTGCTTGAAATAAGGTACCAGTGGGTTAAATGTTAGAGGGCCAGTGACCCTCAATATCCCTTCCATTTATGAAATTCTGAATGTTTGATCTCTTTCTTAACAATAACACAGGGATGTTTGGTATCCTATTTGAGTTCTTCACCGCCAATAACTGTGTATCCATCATAGATTTGCTTTTGGTAAACATGAAGATGATTGAGAATTCTCCACCCACCCCATCTTTACAGGCTTAAGAGGGACATAGGAAGGTAGAAAACATCTGAGAAATTGATTCCATGTCTTTATCTGACACTCCTTCATATCTGTTCCAGATTTAGCCATGCCTCTGTGAGGGGATGTTCTCAGTTACAGGGTAGTGAGCCACTCCACAGCAAACCATGACTCCTGATGGAGGTGGGGATGCATGCAGAGTAGCTCACGAGCTTTCCAGTGTTGCAGGTACGCAGGCTGGGAAGCCCACTAGAGGCAGATCCTACCACAGACTCAGAATTTCCATATTCTGTGGTCAGCATCGTACAATCAGGAATCTTCCTACATCCATGGACTTTTAATTTTATTTATTTATCTTAATTATATATATATAATTAACACTCATTATAAATATAATATATATAATATATGCATTATATATGTATATATATGTTTTGCTTGCATGTGTATAATTGTACTTGTGCATGCCAGAAGAGGCAGTCAGATTCCCTGGAACTGGACAACTGTTAGTTACCATGTGGGTGTTGGGAACTGAACCCAGGTTCTCTGCAAGAGCAGCCATTGCTTAGAATATACTCCAAAGACTTTACTGGAATCTAAGCACTACCAGACCAGTAGGGAGAGTCTCAACATATCCTGGCCATCCATTTATCCTGGCTAATTTAACTCTCTTCCCCCAAGTGTGGACAGTGTCTCTTCAGTACTTTAGCCAAACCACAAACCCACCATTACCACTGAGAAGCAGTTGCTAGCATTCATCATGCCTTTTCGCAAGTTGTTAAGAAGTCTGTATAAATCCATTTAGCTATGCTTCAGGTATTGACAGGTGCACCTGGCAGAGGTGTCTTGGGGAGTGCTGATGTCTAATGAACCCCAGTAATGCTTGCCTGAAATAGCACACTGAGCGTGATGAGGTATTGAAGCCAATTCCAGACATCACAGCATAATCTTTAAAAATGATATATATATATACATATATATTTATTATATGTGTATGGTGCGGGGTAGGACTGGGGGGGAATGCATGCCATGGTACACGTGTGGAAGTCAGAGAACAACTTTGTGGAGTTAGTTCTTTCCTTCCACCTTTGTGCAGGTTTTGGCCTTGAAACTGAAGTTACTGATGGAAAGATATAGAACAAATATGTTATTTAAAAATTTAAGATTAGTTGGTACGTAAATATGCACCAACTCTTGGCTTTTTCTAGATCAAATTTTTCAACCTCAGCACTGTGTATATTTTAGACTCTAATATTCTTTGCTGTGTGAGTGTGTGGTAAGGAGGGGAGGGGATGCTGTTTGCATATTGTAGGATACTGAGCAGCCTCTCCGGCCTTTATCATGCAAGTATTGACAGTTATAAAGTGTTCCTAGACATTGTCAAATGTCTTCTGGGGTGCAGAATCACTGCCTGATGAGAACTATTGTTCTAGACCAGAACCAATAAGCACCCTAACGCTTTGTAGCATCTAGGGTGGCGAGCTGGCTCTGTGGGTAGAAGCTGTGCATGCCTGATGACCTGAGCTGGACCCCCAGAAACCCCAGTGGAAGTAGAGAATATTCCTGAAAGTCATCCTGTGACCTCCACATACACCACTGTATACACCCACCTGCATTCATACACAACACACACACACACACACATACACACACACACACTCACACATACACACGAAAATAAAAAAGAATGCAGCATTTCAGACCACCCCCAGACCTGTTGAATAAGAATCTTTGTTTTAGTAAGGCCCCAGGTGGTCTCCATGTCCACACACTGGTCAACATTACAATGAAGTGCTCATGTGACCCTGCTGTGGCTTTTGTCATTGCAGGAAGCTGATGAAGCCTTATTGCATAATCTGCACCTTCAGTTGGAAGTTCAGTTTCTGCAGGCCTACATCAGTGTGGCCAAGGACAGGTACAAAAAGGTAACCATGACATGTGTGAAGCCCTTTCCTATAGAAAACCCAGTTTGGGTTTGGCCAGACAAGAGACAGCTAGAGTGAGCCATGTGTGGTTGTATTCCCTGTACCATGTCAGGCTGGGCCAGGCACTGGACAACACCTACCCAGCCTGAGGTGATTAGAGGGGTAGAGCATGTGAGGATACCTTGGCGATAGTGATGCTGGCGTCTAGTGTCTGTTCTGTACAGTGACATTTATACCATGGTTTAGACAGAATGCCAGGGGCAGTTTCAAAGCAGCTCAAAGCACTGGAAGGCTATTTAGAACAATAATGAGAAGAATATCTTGGAATGGGCTGCTTCCAATCATTATCTGTTGGATCCCAACAACTGCCTGATGGGGTAGCTCTCAGGTCAGTCCCTATGAGAGGAGCCAGAAATGTGTCACTGTGATGTTAGTGGAGGGGTGGGGATAGAGAGAGGGAGGGGAGCATCCCTCCACAGCGTTGGTCTCACTTGGAGGCCAGAGGCTGGTCTTTTGCAGTCCTGTGATAGGCAGGCATAGACCTGGGGGCCATGTAGCTTTCTGACAAGGTGACCATCGGTTGGTCAAGGCAATTGTTCCCTGTAGAGTTCTCTGTAGAGTGTTATCAGTCATTGCTCATAGCTGGGGATAGGTGCACTGAGTGGTAATGATCACCAGGCCTCTTTAATAAAAGGATTCCAATTTTTAAAAAGATATTTATTTATTACTTTTATTTTACGTGTATGAGTGTATTGCCTGTGTGTTTGTAAGTGCATTCATGTTGTGCAATGCCTGTTGGAGGTCAGAAGAGGGCGTCAGATCCCCTGGAACTGGAGTTATGGACAGTTGTTAGCCACTGTATGGGTGCTGGGAATTGAACCCAGGTCCTCTGCAAGAGCAGTCCGTGCTCTTAACTGCTGAGCCATCTCTCCAGCTCCAAAGGCTTCCCATTTTAGGAGACTTCAGAAGTTTGCCTGAGACCACACAAGTGTATTCAGTAAGTGATTAGGCCAGAAGTGACTGACCAAAGCCACCCTTTCTCAGAAACTCTGCCCTGTGCTGTCAGAGTCCTTTGTGACATCCAGGCCTCATTTCTTCCTTTTTCCTCCCATGCTTCTGTCATCCAGGGCTCTATGAAGCCAGTGGCAATGTGTGAAGGTGACCACAGAGAAATGGCAGGATAAACCGAGCCTCAGTTTACTCATCTGCTCTGTTCTCATGAAGATTAAATGAGGTGTGGAGTGCTTGCTCTGTGGTGGCCCATCACTGGCCATGCTCCTCTTTCCACCCCCATTGTCACAACTGTGAGACAATGTGTCATAATGCTCATTCCTTACCTAGGATGCAAGGGAAGGATTCAGGCTGCTCAACCTATAATGACAATGCTGTTCCTTCACAACAGAATCATCTGGAAATTCAGACCTACATCAGTATCCTGCAGCAGATCATTCAGACTGCCCCTCAAGTGCCTATAGTTCCCGGTGGGATGAGGGAGGTAAGAATCGAAGCTGTGGCTGCAGGAAAAGCAAACCAGTCCTGGGGTAGGCCATACTTCGAGCCATGCTCACTGCCTGTGGACCTAGTTGGTGTTACCAGAGGCCCAGGGACAAGCACTGGGTCAGATTTCTGGAGCCATAGTAAACTCTTCTGAGCTGTGTGCACATTTGAGGTTTGTTCTTAAGCTCTTTGTTCAAACTGTAAATGCTGATATGCAGATTTCAGAGCACATAAACTGTGCTCCTATCATGTCAGGTATTTTCTCTTAGGAACTATGGGCTAGTCTCTCTTGTATACTTTATAAGCAACTGGAAAACTGGATTTCAAAACTATGTGCTGTGTCAGTCTCTTTTCTGTTAATAACACAATATAAGAATGGACAGGTTATAAAGAAGAGAGGATTATTTTGACTCATGGTTCTTGAGGTCCAGGGTCAAGAGTCTACATTTGCATCTAGTGAATTCTGCTCTTGCTGGAAGTGTCCTGAAGTGGTGCAGGGTACCACAAGGTGAGGGACAGGCAGTGTGTGTGTGTGTGTGTGTGTGTGTGCGTGCACACCATTTGATTTCTTCACATAGAACTGGCAGTATTCAGTCAAGGAAGCTGGACCCTGATGGCCTTATTTTATCCTGATCACTTCCTAATGGTCCATATAGTCTGACTAAACCTCCCACTTTTTTTTTTTTTTTTTTTAAAAGACAGAGCCTTGCTCTCTATCCCAGGCTGGTCTAGAACTTGTAATCTTTCTGCCCCAGCCTCCTGAGAGCTGGGATTATAAGAACGAACCTGTTACCTTCTATCTTCTTAATCTTTCACAAAAGGCACTGTTAAAGTCCAGCATGGATGCTCAGAGGGGACATGCCCTGTTCCAGCAGTACTTGGCCCTTGCTGCATTCCTCCAGTCACGAATAAGTGCTGGCTTTACATTTTTGCCAACACTTGCTAGCTCAACCTTTGATTTTGTTTTTGCTTCTCTGCTAGGTATGTTGTGAATCTGGTTGTGGTTTTAATTTGTATCTCCCTGTGACTAATGAAGTTAAACATTGTATGTGCTTATTTACCACCTATAGAGCTTTTATATATATATATATGCATATATATCTGTATAATGTTCCCCTTGTTGCCCATTCTTAAAGTTGGCTTGTGTCTAAGCCTGTTTGTGTTGCTATAATACAATACCATAGACTAATTTATAAAGAACAGAAATTAATTTCTCACAGTCTGGAATCCTGGAAGTCCAAGATCAACGCACTAGCTTTTGATAAGGGCCATTTCATAAGCCGGACATCTTACATGATAGAAAGTGGAAAGGGAATGAGAGGGTCAAAGAAGCTCCTTGTCCTCACATGTCAGAAGAGCAGAAGAGGGAGAAGCCACTCCCAAGACCTCTTTCATAGAGCTGCGAGTCCATTCATGAGGCCAAAACTAGGTCCCAGCTCCCAGCTCTGCTGTGTTAGGCATTGATTTGGGAGAACACATCCAAACTTAGCAGCCTGTTTGTTTTCTTATCCTCCTTAGAAATTTGGTCATAAAATTGCACTGAGAGACTCTAAAGACACTTAGTGGATACATTTGCAAGGCCCAGCTCTGCTTATGATGAGAGAGAGAGAGAGAGAGAGAGAGAGAGAGAGAGAGAGAAATTGTTGAAGCCATATTGTAAAACCTGGAGATTCAGATGTGAAACCCTGTTCCCATTCTAAAGCTCCCATTTCCTTTTTCAGTTAGCTCTGCATCTGCTTGGCAGGTTAGTGGCATTTTTGTTTTCTAATGTGGTTCATGGAATTTTATGTTGTATAATATGATACATATAAACATAGACAAAGGATGCAAATTAAAATTAAAATATTGGCCGGGTGTGCAGTGGTTGAGTGTGTGCTTTGCATGTTCAAAGCCCTGGTACCAAAAAAAAAAAAAAAATATCACCATGTCCCTTCTCCGGTGGTTAGAGTAGGCCGGCATAGAGTTTGGTGGATTGGTAAGAGTCTGGTGGGAGTTTTTGTTTGCTTGTCTGTTTTGTTTTTAAAGGATGACCCAAGACAGTGATTCTCAACCCTGGTGACACTTGGAATTTCCTAAAAATGTGCTTAAACCATGTCCCAAGGCAGTGGATGGATTTCCTTAGAGTAAGACCCTTCTTGGGGACAGGCAGAATCAAGGGGGCTGCAGAGCCAGTGGGATGGGGCTGCTGGTTGCTTGAGGGTTTTCATTTTAACAATTAAAAAAAAATCAAGGTTAAAAGAATCTTACCTTCCCTCACTCCCATGACATGACCAGTATACTCATAAACTCACAACAGCTTCAAGGTTACCTGTATAGGCCCTGCACGAGACTGGACCCTTTAATAGTCAGTCATGGATAGCAGAGGGGCTCATGGTATGTGTGTGTATGTGTGTGTGTGTGTGTGTGTGTGTGTTTCCGTGTCCCTGGTCTCTCCAGCCAGAGCTATTGGAAGTTGATGGCTGCTGGGGGAGGGGAGTTACTGTTTTCAGTGGTATAGCCACTGGTGAATCGCCCTTGCTCCAGTGGATGGCTCCACACCCGTGCTTATGCTAGGTAGCCTGGACAGACTCAGGTCACAAAACTAAAACAAAAATGAAACAAAACCGAAAAGGTAAGAAAGTGGAAGGAGACTTGCTGGGAGGAGGAGAAATTTGGGAGAGATGAGAGGATGTGGGGGTGAGTGTGACCAGAAAGTATTATATGCATGTATCAAATCATTGTAGAATAAATTAATTTTAAAATACTTTATTGTTATTTTTATTGTATGTGTATGAGTGTTTGTGTATCAGGGCATGTGATGGTTTGAATGAAAATGTCCCCCCTAGGCTCCAAGTATTTAGACATTTTGTCCCCAGATGATGGCGCTGTTTTGGGAGGTTTTAGAAGGTGTGGCTATCCTGGAGGAAGCACGTCACTGGGGGTGGGCTTAGTGAGTTTTTAAGCCTTGCAGGATCTCCAGCCACTCTCTTGTTTCCTGTGCCTGCTGGAAGATGTAGAACTTAGCTTCCAAAGCTCCTCTTCCCCAGCCACCTCTGCCACCATGCCTCCCTGCCAAGACAGAATGTAATTCCCCTGGAACCATAATCTCAAATAAATTCTTCCTTCTTTAAATTGCTTGAGTCAGTGTTTCTATCACAGCAACAGAACTAATACAGTGCACCTGTGTCATGCAGTGCCCTCAGAGGTCAGCAGACGGTGTTGGATTCCCCTGGAACTGGAGTTACAGACAGTTGTTAGCTGTCATGTACCCACTCGAGTGATTTTTAAAATGCCTCTGAACACATTTTTAAACTCTGCTGAGAGTATCAAGAGACGAGAAAGCTACTTTTTTGGGCTTTTGTGTGGATAGTCTTACCCAAATTACCTACCAATTGCCATTTTAGGCTCCTGCTCTCCTTAATTGTTGCCATCCAGGCTGCCCAAAGTCCTGAAATAACTTTTCTAGAACCTTAATTTTGTCTGTCAGAGATTCCTTTGCCGTGATCTTATTTTTATTTTTCGAACATACCTTTCCCCTCTAATTCAAGGTGTCTTAACAATGTGAGCACACTTTTCCATCATATCTGTATCTTTGTAACACAATCCTGAGTTCTAAGAATAAGTGGTTGATCAGACTTATTTTGACACCTTTGGATGGGCAATCACTTGGAAGCTTGGAGAAACGCAGAAACATCCGGCCTGACTTCAGACCCATTGACCAGTCATCTGTATTTTAGTAAGACCCCCTGGGGTCTCGTGCACATGAAATATGGAGAGATATGGATTCAGAACACATCCTATTCATCCTGAATCTTAGCTTAACAATTCCACAAACTGGTTAGTCATTCACTTTCAGGTTTGTTTCATTGACTCTTGCTCTTGTCCTAGAAACTGCGGAGGTCACCTTTGTACAAATGGGTGTTTGAATGTGAAATGACCCTTATGGGTTTATATGTTTGAACACATGGTCTCCAGTTGGTGGCTTTATTTTGGGAGGTTAAGGAACCTTTTGGAGATGAGACCTAGCAGGAGGAGTGGGTCACAGGAGGGAGGCCTCTATGGGTTTGTCTGTGGTCATTTGACTGGGTTGTGTTGGGCCTCTGGTAGTGCAGTATATCATGGCAGGAGTGTGTGGAGGAGGAGGCCTCCTTACTTTGTAGCATCTGCAAGTAAAAGGAGAGGAAGGAGCCTGGGCCCCAGTATCTCCTTCAAGGGTGCAATGCCAGCCACCTAACTTCTTCCCACTAGGGCTACTTCCTAAATGTTCCACCACTTTCTATAGCCCCATTGGCTGGTGGCCAAGCACTCAACACATGAGCCTTGGGAACGCTTGAGATCCATGCTATATATAGCAGCTCCTTGTGAGGTATTTGTGAGCAGGGGCTGCTTTCCACATGTGGCTTGAACATGAGGAGCAACTGATGTAGACTTGGGTTTTGACTTCATATGACGTTGAGGCAGTGCAATCTGTGTTGAAGGCAGGGCTCCTGAGACTTTGTGAATCAGTGTGGGCATCTTTTTGAATAGAAGGTAGACAGGTGGGTCAGGAGAGGGGTGCCTGCTTGGCTGAACATGGACAGGTTGGAAGCGGGTTTCCTTCTGGACTATCCCATTGTTCGTCCATAGGACAGTATAGTAGCCTTACCAGGGTCCTGATTCCTGTTCACCTTTTGGGTGACGACTCTTGTCTGGTGCTGTACATAGCTGATGACTCAGAGCTCAAACTGATTTTCATCTTCAGATGCAGAATCCACAGCCAAATGAGCATCTGCATTCTGGTTTTCTTTTCACAGGAGGGAAAATGGAGGCTTTGAAAGTCAAATGCCTCGCTAGCCAATCTGTGACATAAACAGGTGTATGTTTGGGACTCCCGATCCTTAGCATCTGAACTTTACTCTTGAGTGGTTGATGGTTCAGATAATGACTACTACGGGCCTGTCTGAGACAGCTCGGGCTGCTGTAGAACAAGGTTCTGGAGACTCACAGTTTATTGCTCACTGTTCTGGAGACTGAAGGTCCAAGATCAAGGTGTCAGCAGAGTTGGCATCTGCTGCCAACTCTGACAGGCAGCCATCTTCTCACTGTGTGCCCATGTTGTGGTGGTGGATACGTAGATGAGCTCCCTGGTGGTGCTTCCTTTTATCACAGGGGCACTCATTCCTAATGGCCCCACTTTCATGACCTCTTCTGACCCTAATCACCTCCCAAAGGTCCCTACCCTCTAATATCGTGGGGGGAGTAGGGCTTCAGCACATGAATTTGAGGGGTACAAAGGAGGAATCCCACCCTCTCCCTGTTCCTTTCCTCTTTGTGTGAGTCTGAGTCTGTCCTTCTGCAGGAGAAGCTGGTGATAGAACGAGAAGTTGCTGCCCTGCAGTCAGCTGGAGGAGGGCCAGGAGATGCTCAACCACCTGCAGGCACAGAAAGCTGAACTGCAGGCCCAGGTATGTGCTGTACCAGTGTCAGGATCTTCCACATGTTTTATTGAAATGGCACATACATGCACAGGTATCCACTTCTGTGAACTGTCAGAGACTCAACACACCTGTGTGCCCAGCAGAATAGTGTTCTGAGCAGGAGACCAAGTGCCTTGCTTTGGCCTGGTCTGAGGTTTGCCAGGATGTATGACTTTTAGTGCGTAGCTTAGAAGAGTCATGGCCAAATGGAGACTGATACATGCCAACACTCAGCCTAATGGTGGTTCTCCTACCTCCATCCAGGTATACCCTCCCCCACCAAGGGCAATAGCCCCATTTCTTAACCGATTCGCTTTGCACAGATTCCAGGTTCTCATTCCACGCACACCCAGATCTGGGCTTCCTCTTCCTCCTGTCATGACGGCCTGTCTTCGGAACTGGTGATGATCCTGGAAGTAGTGGTCGTGCCAGTGTTTGTTCTAGTTAGCTATCTGTTACTGTCAGGCTTACATCTCTGCTTCCGTTTTAGCTGTGGCCTGCGTGGCTCATCCCCTCAATTCCTTTGTGCATGTGTTCTTGTTTCCATGCAGATGGGGAATGTGGGGTTTAAATGCCATACTCACTACAGCTGTGTAGCCACATTTCCCAAACCAAAACATCAATTGACATTCAGTAGGCAAGTATGCCTTAGGAACAAGAGCAAAACAATCTACAATTCAGACCCTAGAACAGGACAGCTGGAGGTGAGCCTTTCCTCTGCTAGAACCCACGGCATCAGAAAAAACGTAAAGCCTTGCCTAGGTGCCCATTGCATGAGTATTCAGTGCCCTCCATATCTGTCCAGGGTCTCAGACCTCCTTCCCACCCCTGCCGCACACCTCACAAAGCCTTCACTATGCAGCAGCCCAGGGCAGTGGTTGTCCCCTAGCTGAGAGCACAGTGGGAAGTTGAGTCTTGTCCTCAGCCCTCATCTTCTCAGGACACAGCCATGGCTCGGGGACTAGTGTCTTCAGCTTTGTGACTGTGGTTGCTTCAGGACCTGAAAGGATAGAAGGAGAGAGACAGAGAAACAGGGAGAGAGAGGGAAGGAGAAAGAAAAAGAGGGAGAAATGTATAAATGCGTAGGGGACGTGTGTGGTGTGTGTGTATATGTGGAATATGTATATGGTATGTGTGGTGTATGTAGTGTACATAGTGTTTGGTGTGGGTAATAGATGTGTTGTGTATGTGAGGGATGTGTTTGGTCTGTAGCATGTATAGTCTATATATACATGGCGTTTGTGTGCATAATGGTATATAATGTGAGGAGTATGTGTGGTATGTTTATGTAGCCTGGGTATGAAGTCTGTGAGATTATA